GTATCGATTCATGTCTATTATTCGATAAAAATCGTTTATAGATTTGTATCGATTTATAATAGTTTATCGATATATAGTATTATATTCTAATCGATACAAAACGATTAATTGTTATATATCGATGATTATCTATTAAAAAACTTTTCCGATATTGTTAACAAAAGCTATGCTTTTATTAAATTTTTTTATACAAAGACACTACCTTTTGCCAGTTATCTTGTATAAGAATACTTTTAACTTGCTTGTTGAATATACAGAGAAATCTAGACAAAGCAGAGAAGCCTTGACCTCTGTAAAAACCATTACTTGTATAGTTGTCTCTTTTACTTTTCTCTAACAAGTTTTTGTTTTCATTAGTTGTAAGTTTGGTACAAGTGATCATCAAAGAGAGTTGTATAAATATTATATTAATATTTTAAAAAATTTTAATTACAAAATAATTTTTAAAATTTAACAAAAAATATTTTTTTTTAAATTGGATTAACTTTTGTTTTATACAATAATTAATATATTATATTATATACAAAATTTGTAAATTAATAAATTAGTTCTATATAAAGTATAAACTAATAATATATTAAATTAAGTATACCAAAACTTAGCAAAATACAATATTTTTAAAATTAGTTTGTATAAAATTTTTATTAATAAAAATTTAATAAAATTTTATATTTATGCTAAAATATATTTTAGCCAAATTTAAATATATAAACTAATTGCATAATTACTAATAAACATTCTATTACATACTATATATATAATTTAATTTAAGGTTTACCATACCGACAAATTACATAATTTTGTTATACTGTGTATTAAAAACAAATTTTGTATTATTAAGTCCCAAAAACAAGCAAGTAAAATAATCCAACAATTAAGTTAGTAATAATTATCACAGGAATCTAGCTTTTAAATTTAACCTTTTTTGTATCTAATAAAACAAGAGACATCCACCTTTTTATCATTTTTTACCAATGCATCATTTAATATCTTTTCAAACTTGAACCCAGATTTTTTTAATATACGTTCACTTTTAACATTTCCAACAAAAACCATTGCGTATAAATGGCTTAATCCTAAACCTCCAAAGGCGATTTCGTCACAAACGAATTTCAAAGCAGAACTAGTAATTCCAAGATTTCTATAATCTGGAGAAATGTAAAAGCCAATTTCATAGCTATTCTCTGAGAGATAAAAATCAGAAGATACATTGTAGGAATAGGAAGATTCGTCAAGTAAAAGCAATCCAATGCACCCAATAAATTCCTTTTGATCATTACGAATTGCCCATGTTGTACAAGTGTGGGTCTTAGAATACAAACTAAGACATTTCGATACAAAAAATTCAGCATCGGAAAGAGTGTTGGACCAAGGATGGAATAAATGTTGGGAGCATCACATTCCTGTATTGCTGATAAGTAAAATCGATCTTCAGTAGAGGAAATTGGAAGATTAAAGGGGCCGGCAAACTTAATTGACTGTGATATTTCCATGCTTGAGGCAGGCACGACTAATTATTATTATCGTTGTCATTTATTTACAGCTCATTGAACCAATAAAAATAGCATTTCTAGAAAAAGTTATGGACTATAGTTTCCGAAATTTCAGTATTCAGTGTTCCAAACATTAAACTTCATTGTTTCACCAAATCCTTAATTGGTAGGAACCAGTCTACCAGCCTCGGGGGCCGTAAAAATGCATATCTCAGTCCAACAAATTTGTGTCGGAAAGAAAATTCTTTTTTTCAACATTCGAGTTAATAAATCGTCACGCAACAGGTCTACCAATGAGCACACTGCAATACTCTTCTTCACCGTCTTCACCTACAGTTAATTCAACGCAATCGCAGTTATACTCTCAGTCGTTAATGTCCCTGCAACCGCCATCTTCACAGCCGGTAAAGATGAGCAGTAATACGTTCGTTCACAAGCTTTACAAGTATGTTATTTTCAAAACATTTTGCAGCGATTGGGGAGGTTAGATATTGTATGTGTCTTGAATGTGTGCTATTGCTGAAAAACTATCTTCTAAATCTATTTTGCTTTAAATGCCCTGTTTTCGATCCTGTAAACGCAATTTGATCACTAGCATGGTTGTTGACAAGCAATACCAACATCTTATCGCTTGGAATTACACTGGGTCATCTTTCATAGTGTGCAATATCATGGAGTTTTCACGTGATGTCTTGCCAAAGCATTTCAAGCATAACAATTTTTCAAGCTTCGTTCGTCAACTAAACATGTAAGCTTTGTTTTCTTCAAATGTTAACACTTGTCCTGCTCCATTCGCTTTTGCCTTTTATTATTAATGCAATGGACCTGAATGAATCCACATAAGAATATACAATGGGTTGACACCTTTATTATGTGACTTGGCGGCTTAGGTACGGCTTTCATAAAGTTAATAAATCACCTCGGGGACATCGTACATTGGCTGAAAATCAAATATGGGAATTTTCTCATCCAAAGTTTTTACGCGGACGTCCTGATTTGTTGGATGATATTAAAAGAAAAGCTATGGAATCAGAAACTTTGCGAAGAGAAACTGGGGACTTACATGCCCATCTTGCCATGATGCAAGTTACGCAAAACGAGTTATTGCAACAGATTAGGCAATTGCAAGAAAACTTTGTGGAGGTAATGAGAGATCTAACAGAAACAAAGAAAAGACAGAGCCTCCAACAAATTTGGATGAAAGGTATGTGGGAATTTCTGCAAAGCCAAGGATCAACTAGTAAGTACAATAAAATGTATATCTTTTTTTCGTAGATAAATTTTAAAAAATACATAATAATTATATTTAATATTTTCTAGTTCCATTTGAATTGAATCTAGAAAATTTCGAGATTAAACCAGAACCTGAACGTCCTCCAATATACATTACTTCACCAGAAAATCATAATATAAATTATCTGATCAATATGTCAACCCATAATAATATTTCATCGCGTCCATCTTCACCTTTGACAGTAAACACCAGTATAACCAGTCATGGAAGTTCATCTAGTCAAGCTAGTTCACATGGTCAAAGTCCAAATTTGAACATTCAACTTCCAGGGAGTCCTTTTCTGAATAACTCTATATTGACTGGTCAAATACCTCCCCTTTCTCCTAATTCATATAGTGCTTATACTGCGGCAGTAAATACCCCTTTACCTCCTAGCCCATCACCAGATTCACCGATGGGACATCCTTCTGACGACGATATGGATGGCTCGATTTACGGTGCAAGTCCTAGCCATATAGAAGATTATGATGATATGTTTACTACATCGATGTAGAGATTATACCCGCAAAGGGGCAACTCGTATAAGATCTATCAACCGGGTCATGACTATTGTTTCCCGGGTGATGCAGATTATAAGACATAATTTACATTATAAACATCACCTGTTTTTGAAATAAGAATATATTTTTTTAATTAATTTTATCTAGTCCATGAGTATAAAGTTGTGAGGATAAAGAACGGGATCTCTTGCAGTATAGGTGACCCCTTGATGAAATGTATTATTAATAAATTGATTATAAAGTGGGGCTACCTATATTGCAAGAGATCTAAGAACGGATAAGAACATTTATTAATCTAAGTATTTAAAATAACTATTTGGAGTTTATGAATATTTAGTATTTAATTTCATTTTTGTTCGCGTTAATTTAGCATGTAAGTATAAAGAGCATTTGTTGATTCGCCATTTAACACTGATTTTATTACACCCGTTTCACCCCTCGTGTATTATATATACTCTATTTATATTTGTTATTTTTGTTAACATTAATGGTTATTTTTTT